TCCAACATAAAAGTCTATGAGACTCAGAGAACACAAGTAGTTTGCAGATGGGGGTACTTGAAACTACAGCATGGCTCTGCATTAATATCTTCTGATCTGATAGTCCTCAGGAATGCCTGAAAATCTGACTAGCTTCCTGGATTGTCATATTTTTCAATATGACTTTAACTAATATTAGCTGTCTTTTTTTGCTTGAGATTGAAAAAGAATATTTAGAAACCAAGATATGAAATAGCAATATAGGAAACACAAAAAAGCTGAGTTTGCTGGATTTTAACTCAGAGTATAGGAATAAATGCCTGTATGCACAAAAGTAATATTTTTGCCTAACTCGGTTAGAGAATTTCATCTGAGAGGATGGTTTCTCTCTAGGCAAAACTAAAATAACCATTTTGTGGTGAGGCAACTGCTCTCAATGTCAACTTGGGTATTTCAAGCTCAACATAATATGGTTAGTAGTCTTGAGAGCGTCATATCAAGGTTTTTCAACCTTGGCAGTATTGACATTTTAGGCTGGCTAATTTTATGTTATAGAGGCTGTCCTGTGCCTTGTAGGATGATTAGCAGCATCCCTGACCTCTTCTCATCAGATGCCAATAGTTCTCACCAGTTTGGAGAACCAAAAACTGTCTCAAGACATTGCCTGCTGTCCCCTGGGGTAAAATTGCCCCCAGTTGAGAACTACTGGCTTTTAAGAGATTGGTAATTAGAAAAAAGTTTCTCTAAGGCAACTTTGTCCCCATAGTGTTCTTCTCTCTGCCCTTTCATAGTTGAGGGTATCTTCATGACCTAGATTTGCCTTCCATCTAAATGAAAAAAGGCTTCTTCAATTTAAAATTTAAATTTATAATTTCAAGAACTATAAAAACAGATGTATTTGCTTATTTTTTATGCATTTTACTCCAGTGCTATTTTTGGTGACCCCAATAAATGACTTTTGAATTTAATAATTTTAAGAAAGAAATTTAAAAAATAGAAAATATAAACAAGACTTCATGTAACATAGTGCTGTAACCTTTGCTATCTTATGGCAGCAGAACTAGAAGAGCTTTAGATTGTATGTTGTTCAAAAAATTATTATTTATGAATTAAAAAAAGCAAGGTTTAGAAAGGCCATTGACATGGTCACATCTTCAGGCCCAATCACAGGTAGAATCAAAAGTAGAAGCCAAAACTCTTGGTTTTGAGGGTCTCTTTCCACTATCCCGTGGTAACTTTCAAGGGAGTCCTCCCTTATTATCCTCATGGCACAGTATTTTTACATAAACATATGCTGCAGTATTTTTAGACAGGACCCTATAGCACTGTGGGTGTAATATTGAAAAGCTACAGGAAGAGAAGAGCTAGCAAGGAATGCTTATTTTAAGAAAACTTCATGTCTGTGGAGTCTGTTATGATGAGGTTTAACTGTACTAATAAACACTTGGATATGTACTTTCTATTTCCAGCATTTGGCTATAGCAATATCTACACATGAAACTTTCTCCTTGTCTTCTCTCCCACTCTCAAAAGCCCTGAGATTGTTTGACATTGACACCATGCTCTTGGCAGTATAATTTGCCTCACCTGTTTAAGAAGCAGGCATGTCTAATTCCAAAGTTTTTCCCTAGGGTAACATTCAGACTGTGCCTTGACTGTGTTTTGACTGGTTTCCCATAGAAATTAGACCCTCGGAATGAGATCAGAGGAGGAGCTCGGGGCAGCCTGCCTTGCAGTGATGGGGAAAGAGCTCAGAGGAAAGCTGCCTTGGAGAAGTCTCTGAGCCAGAACTTTTCTTCTCCAAGGTTCTACTGTATCTACCTTCTAGCTTTCTCCCAAACCTCTCTTTATGTTGCTTGTTTGCTATTCCTGATGCCAAAAAAAAAGTCTTCTCTTAGTTCAGCCAATTCTTTATACATTTGACCTTTTAAAAATTAGGATAACTCTCCCAAACAGCCATTTATTGAGGGGCAATTTACTGATACTAGCAAGTGACTCAGGATGGGTACGTCCTAAGAGAAGATGAGATATAGTCATCTCACACCAAAGGTGGGGAAATCAGGCACAAGAAATGAAGGGTATGTCTGGAAAGTCAAACACCTTAAGCAACAATGCCAAAGATTCAGTGCTTTACACCAGACCCTGCCCTCCCAATGCTTCTTAAATGCATGGTCCTCAAGATGGACTATAGAGGAGCAAAATGTTCGGCATCGTGTCTGCTGGAAAAAGAGAACATCTGAGATAAGGGAGTCAGAGATAATTGTTTATAGTGTTAGAGGATGTAGTAGGTATTCTCCAGCATCCTTTACCCTCTTCCCTTCAAATAGTACTTTAGAAAATGCTGTTGCTCAGTTGCTGAGTCACGTCTAACCCTTCGCAACCCCGTGGACCACAGCACGCCAGGCCTCCCTGTCCATCACCACCTCCCGGAGCTCATTCAAACTCCTGTCCATTGTGTCGGTGATGCCGTCCAGCCATCTCATCCTCTGTCCTCCCCTTCTCCTCCTGCCCTCAGTCTTTCCCAGCATCAGGGTCTTTTCCAGTGAATGAGCTCTGCACATCAGGTAGGCAAAGTATTGGAGCTTCAGCTTCAGCATCAGTGCTTCCAATGGATATTCAGGATTGATTTCCTTTAAGATTGACTGGTTGGATCTCCTCGCAGTCCAAGGGACTCTCAAGAGTCTTCTCCAACACCACAGTTCAGAAGCATCAATTCTTCAGTGCTCAGCCTTTTTCATGGTCCAATTCTCACATCTGTACATGACTACTAGAAAGACCTTTTTAAAAAATAAATTATTATAAAAATAGAAGGATTACATGAAACTATTGTTGTTATTCTCAAATCTAATTCAAAAATACTGGTGAGGGCCAAAGCTCTAGTAGAAAGATTGGCATTCATGAATTCTCACCAGACATTTTCTTAACATCTGGCAAATGAACCACTTCAAATTGTTTGGGATATATGCTTGGATGGGTAGGTGAATGGATAGATAAGCAGATAAACCATAGATAGATAGAAAGCTTAGGATTCCTGCTACATCATTAAGTATGTAAATCCTGCTTTTGACTGGTTGGAACATCCTCCCTAAAGCTGTATATACCTTTTCTTATTCCTTCTTCATCACTGGTACTTAGTTTCCTTCCTATTTCCCCCAAGTCTAATCTGTATCTGTCTCACTTGAGAAGGGATGAAGACTTTGAGTTTCTAAACTCCTTCTTTAAGGCATTAAAGAATGTTGCTGAACTCTGAAAAGGAGCAAAGGAAGACCACAAACTAGAGGAAGTACAGATTTCTCTAATCGCTGGTACTTTTTAGGCAGTCAGAGCAACTAAGTGTTTCAAGTTGTTTTATAATCATGAAAAGTTTGAATAGACAACAGTTTATTTTACTGACATTCTAGTGTCACTGATCTATTCTCATCTGGTATCCATCATTTGTATTCATTGTAACTGACAATTTATTGGTTTGAATGTAATGCTTCTTTTTTCCCAACAACTTTGAATAGTCAGTAGTTAATATCCTCTCTGTAAAAGACTTGTATAGAATTGGTACCAAGAGGTTCCCAAACATTAGTTCTCTATGTACCATACTCATTTTGAATTTTCTTTACTCTTAAGCCCAGAAATAATTCTGTTTAGGTCATTTAGAATGATGTACTCTATTTTTAACAGTTTATATAAGAAAAAAATGGTTTTCAGTTGTCAGCATGCAACAAAATTGTTTGCTCGTCCTCTAAAATGATGGGGGAAACATTTTTAAAGATCCATGTACATAGACATTTATCATAGCCTTATCTATAAAGAAAAAAATTGTAAGCATGAATATTCCAACACAGTAGATTAAATTGTGGTGCATCCAAGCAGTGGGATGCTGTTCCGTGAAAAACCAGCCTTCAAAGATTCATTAATTGAGAAAATGTTCACCCCAAAGGACATGTGTTCACTCCTCAGGTGAAGGGAGGTATGTGTTCAAAGATTCCTCTCTACTCTGTGGAAAAGAGTTCTCACACAGGAGAAGGATGGCCAGTCCCCTGGCCTTTCTGCTTGGGTATGGCCAAAGAAAAAGGCAGTAATCAAAGGCTCCCCTGAATTTTCACACTTGCTCTGGGAACCTTTTTCTCTCTAGATTCTCTCTCTGTCTCTTAATAAGTACATGGTGAATATAGTGGTCCAGGGGAAAGAGAAAAACAAATCTGTTAGTCTAATCCTAAAGCAGAGGGCCTGCCATGGCCCCTTGTCACCTATCAGATATGGTCAGATTCCCCAGAGGTGGGATTCTACAAAGAAGCACAAAGCCAGGGCCTGATAGTAACAATGAGAGTCACTGCTTTGAGGTTTGGGGAGGTTATGGGCCCTGCTGTCTCTCAATCGCACGCATGATATATTTTTACATTAAAAAAATTCAGTCTACCAAGCAACATGCATGATATACATGAAAAAAAATACATCAGTGGTATGATGGATGTAACAAAACATTAAGAATGCTTATCTGTAATGGAGAAAGCATTGGTAACTTTTGTTAGTTTTTCTTAAAGCTCTTCTGTGCTTTCTATAATGGTCTTTTTTCATCAGAATAATCACATGTATGTGAACTTCTACACACAAACATACATGCCCAAGGCATAAAAAAAAAAAGGGTAAAGTATATTTCAAATTCTGTAGTGTAAGTTTCAAGACAAGATCAAAAAGTATAGCTCAAATTTGTTCATTGCTTATCTGAGAAAATAACACTGTGATTCCACTTGAATATCAATGTAGATCTGTGTTCATCTGGCCATAATTCTGTATAGAGGGTTTATTTCTACACAAAGCAAAGCTCATTGTTTTGGGTCTGCCCAACAGAGCACCCGTCCTTACAAAGACTGCTTGGTTCCTGCTCGAGGGTGCAAAGAGTGGCTCGCTGAGCAAAGAGGAAGACTCCCTGCTCAGCTCAGGGCTCCTGGGCCAGCGAGACCACTACTGGAAGCCAAAGCGTCAGGAGGGCCAGCTGTTCTCCCGGTTCCTCACCTTGCTGAGGCCAAATGAGGTTTTTCCCGTTGGATCTGGAGGGCGCAGTCACGGGGCTGGCAGCCACACAGAGCGAGCAGCTGGGGCTGGCGCACCGTGGGGACGGCCACGCGTCCCTCACGGCTCCTTCAGGGCCTGGCGGTGTTTCAGCCAGATTCCTGGTGAGCGTGGCCTTCTGTCTCCAGACTTGCCCTGGACTCCATCCTTCCTCTCTTCAGTAGTGTCTCAGCTGAGCTTCTTGCATGATTCTGCACAAAATCCTAAACTGCTTCATGCCCAGATGAAAAGCTGAGAGGAATAAGGAGCTTTGGACCTTTTCGTGGCTCACCCCTGAAAATGCACTAGAAGTGCCTGTCTAGTAGCGCCAGATCCTTCTGGGTCCTCAGCAGTTGTTCATGTTGGTGCTCAGAAATACCGGCCATTCTCAGGTGTCTCTAGATCAGAGACATTTCTGAGGCATTTGTGGAAGTTAGGAGGGCGATGGGAGCTGCTGCGCCTGTCCAGAGCCCGCCGCAGCCTCTGTAGGAACCTCTGAAGCACCGCCGATGCGGAGATGGCCAGGTTGTCCCAGCCGGCGCTGAGGCTAACCCCGGACTAGAAAAGCAGCCCCAGGCGGTACCTGCTGCACCCCCGGAGACGTTTAATTTAGTGAGAATCTTTGCGTGGTCCTGGGACTTGAATCCTGAGCCTTCAGTCAGAAAGCACTGCAGTAGGCAGCAGGCTGGGAGATGGCCCCCAAACTCTGCCCCCTGGGGCGCGCGCCTTGTGTAATTCTCCCGAGTATGCCCAGAAACCGTGGGCATGGTGGGGTATCACTCCCATGATGAGGTTACAAGTCAGCTGACTATGAGATGATCGAAACTGAAGTTATCTAGATGGGGCTGACCTAACCAAATTAGCCTTCAAAGGCTCTTGGCCCTGCCTGAGAGGGGATTTGAAGCAGGAGAGTGCGAGAGGGGTTACCGTGGGCCACAGGGCAAGACAAGGAGAGCCTCTAATAACCTAGAGTGGCTGCTGGCCCGGAGCCAGCAAGAAAACGGGCATCTGGCCCAAGAGCTGCCAGGAGCCGAACAGCCTGAGTGCATTTGGTAGAGAGCCCCGGGCATCAGACAAGGCCCCTGGACTAGCTAACGCCCTTCTTTTAATCTGGTGAGACCTACCTAACTCACACCCAGACTCCTGACCTGTGAAAACTGTTCGATAATAGATTTGTATTGTTTTAAGCTGCTAGTTTTGTGGTAACTAATTATAGAGCAGTAGAAAACTAATATATGCCTCAAAGTGCATTTGGTTTATGATGCAAAAACTACACTGATAGTATCCATGAAGGTGATCACCCAGCTTCTCCTTATTCACCTTCAGTTCAAGGGTCTCATTCTCTTTCAAAGCAGCTCACTCATTTGCTAGAAAAGCTTTTAATTATTAGACATTATAATCTTTTTCATAGAGGGTTGAAATCCACTCTGTGATTTCTATGTTTTGATGTTGAATCCATGTTCTGCAGTGTCATAAAAAAAAAAAAATCCCTAATTCTTCCACTATATGTTAGTGTTTCAGTTATCTGAAGAATGACAGCTTAATCTGACTAGATCTAATGTACTCTGTTTAAGAACTCAGACTCCTGGACCGCCCTTATCTGATACTTTTCCAGATATTTCATCAACTGACACACTTGGATTTGTCAGACACTCTTAAAACTGGGGACCCAGAACATTGTCCAAGCTGGAGTCTTATGAGTATGGATCCTGGGATTTCATAGCCTCTCTAATTTGGGTATGGAGCAACTAACTAAGAATGTGATAAAGTTTATTTTAAGTTAGGGGCCCTGGGAAACAGACCATGACTTAGAGTTTCACTTGTAAGGTGTTTAATGGTGGGTGCGCCCAGAAACAGCAGGAGCGGGGTCCCGGGGGAAGCAGCTAGGTGCAGGAGATCACGGACACGCAACGTAGGTGCAGTGGGCACCTCAGCCTGCTCCCCAGAAAGCTCTGGACTCCTGATGACTGTGCAGAGCAGACCCGAACTGAGCCAAGAGAAGGGCCTTTTATACTGTGACATCCACCAATCACTGGGTGTAGCCGGCTCCTGGGGAGGAGGTAAATGCCAGACCATCAGCCGAGGCTGGTTTCCAGGGAGGGGCTAATCTATGGGCCTCGGGCCGCTGGGGAAGGGGTGTCTCAGGGGTCTGAGCTGGCAACCACGAGAGTTCTCAGGGTCCTCTTCCTGTGCTCCTCAGACCCACTTGCTCCATAGAAACGCTCCATCCCACCAGCGAAGAGCGGTTCCAGGATTCCGGTTGGTTTCACTTCCTGTGGAACTGAAGAGAGGCAGTAGAGTGACGTAAACTGCAGCCACTGATACTCATCTCAGGATGCAATCTGTACTCATTTTTGTCCTATATTGCTCAATTTAGATCCTCCTCACCTTCAGCTAGCTTCTCGGCTGGTCTAGATTGTTTCTTTGGTTCAGTTCAGTTCAGTTCAGTCGCTCAGTCGTGTCCGATTCTCTGCGACCCCATGGACTGCAGCACGCCAGGCCTCCCTGTCCATCACCAACTCCTGGAGTTTTACTCAAACTCATGTCTATTGAGTCGGTGATGCCATCCTACCATCTCATCCTCTGATGTCCCCTTATCCTCCTGCCTTCAATCTTTCCCAACATCAGGGTCTTTTCCATTGAGTCAGCTCTTTGCATCAGGCGGCCAAAGTATTGGAGTTTCAGCTTCAGCATCAGTCCTTCCAATGAACACCCAGGACTTATCTCCTTCAGGATGGACTGGTTGGATCTCCTCGCAGTCCAAGGGACTCTCAAGAGTCTTCCCCAACACCACAGTTCAAAAGTATCAATTCTTTGGTGCTCATCTTCTTTGTAGCCCAACACTCATATCCATCCATGACTACTGGAAAAACCATAACTTTGACTAGACGGACCTTTGTTGGCAAAGTAATGGCTCTGCTTTTTAATATGATGTTTATTTAGTAAAATGACTCAAATCCTCATCACCGAAAGGTTCGAGCCCCTAGTCAGCCTTGCCTTTTTCAGGACACATTTGCTGCAGTTGTCCATTTCCTGATCAAACTGGGCAGAGAGTAAGAAAGAGATGCTCCAGTGTATCATCTGGCTGTCCAGTGGTCTCCCTTCCCCAGCTGTGAATCAGCTCACCTGCCTCATCCTTATGACTCAGCTCGATTTGCCCTGACAGGGGGTTAACACCTCCTTGCTTACTTGTCTGTCAGCACGAGGAACCTGACACAACTGGGTGGCAGACATAGCTCAAAGTTTAACTTCACGCTTTCTGGGTTTCCTTGCAAATGTATTTCCTCTTGGGAACTAAGACCCAAGGCACACAGCTTAGACGAGTGGGGAAAAATACCCAAAATTTCCAGGTATGTCACTGGAGTAATGCTAAGCAGTTCCATTATTTCTATCTTTCGGTTCCAGGACCTATGACTTTGACATATTGAGTGAACTTGACAACCTTATAATCACAGTGCTTTATAATGGTGTTGATTCAAGGCACGGATTCTGTTCAGATGGATGGGCATCACAAGGTATCATAACCAACATGGCACTTCAGTTGTGTCTTCAAAAGACCTTTTGATTTCTCAATCATCCTGATGGTTTCTGAGGGCTGATATATAATACATGTTAGGATTAGTGGCTATCAGAGTTATATGCCCACTAACAAACTTCTTTTGCTATAAAGCAGGGTCTTTAGACAGATGCCATGTTAAACAAGATCCTGCTTCAGTGAATCAAAACTCTGTAAATCCTCAGATAAGCCAGCTAGCTGAGATGCAGAGAACATAAAAGGCAGCCCTGTACCCAGAATATGTGTCAATTATAGTCAAGATGAAATGCTGACTCTTCAAGTGATTCCATCAGAATGAAAGAGGTTCGATGAAATGAACTTGCCCCTGGTGACTGGCTTCTTGAGAGACAGGGATACAGCACTAGTGTACAACCGTATCAGGGAGACAGCATGAGTCTTTGTTTCTGGCAGGTCAGATGTTCGGCAGTGACAGAAACTAGATTGGCCTTCGAGAGTGTGAGTTACATGCGTAGCCAACATTCCTGTCACTAGAGTGACTGTGTTAACAAAATCTGTTACAGGCAGTGAAGAAGCTGGTAGTGAATACAGGAGAAAATCCACTGGCTTATTCGTTCAGTCTGTCCCACAGTGGATAAGATCTGGTGGACTTTCACAAGACTTTCACCTTTGTGCCCGTTGCCATAGGATGCCTCTTTTCAACTTTCCTTGTTATCAGTCAGCTTTTCCATCCCACCCCCAAATTAATAAACAAAGCCATTCACCTCTGTCAGTAAATTAATATGTATTATTAGGTCAGGTTGGCTTCCCTGATAGCTCGGTCAGTGAAGAATCTGCCTGCAATGCAGGAGACCCCAGTTCGATTCCCTGGGTCAGGGAGATCCGCTGCAGAAGGGATAGGCTACTCACTCCAGCATTCGTGGGCTTCCCTTGTGGCTCAACTGGTAAAGAATCCGCCTGCAATGCAGGAGACATGGATTTGATCCTGGGTTGGGAAGATCCCCTGGAGGAGGGAAAGGTTACCCACTCCAGTATTCTGGCCTGGAGAATTGTATGGACTGGGGTCCACGGGGTCTCAAAGAGTCGGACTCGACTGAGCACCTTTCACTTTCACTTTCATTATGTCAGTCTACTTTTCTACTTATATGTAAAACAGATGACAAAGCTCGCTATTTAAAGCCTTGCCCCTTGGGAGAATTTCCTCTCATTACTGTCTTTTAGCAGCATATCACACCAGGGTAACTGTACAGTCACAGTTCATTTTTGGCTTATACCAACATATGCAGCCAGCCTACCCATGAATCAAGCAATCAATCTTACCTGGACTCCCCAGCCCAGCCCCTTCTAACCTGGCCGCGAGGAGTCCTCTGAAGGCACTGAGGGGGGTGGGGCAGTGCTCCTGTGGTGGGAGGCGTGGGATCTGCAACACCAGCGTATGCTGCCGCCTCCACCCCCTGGCCTTGTTCATGCCAGTTTTCAAAGCTGCTTTTCCCATCTTGTGATGAATCACTGTTGCACACCCCCAAACATGTGACTTGGTGGGTGGGAGAGAAAGCGGCTCACGATGGTCTGTCTCCGTGGCCACTTATGTCTCAAGATGCTGCTCTGCTGCCCCTAGAACTGGGCAACACACCGGAAGCTATGGATTAAATAGCTGCTGGTGTAGCCTTTCTCCAGGCCCCAAGGTTCTGGGCTGTGATTCTGCTACTGGGGCTTGCCATGATGTCGAAGGGCATGTCCTACCATGGGCGCCTCCGCTGCCGCTGGACCGACCCAGCTGCACAAGCAGAGTGGCCAGGCCCCCGTCAGAGGTCACCCCTGGCCGGGCCTGAAGGTCAGCTGCTGCCTGTTCCTCCCAAACGTGAGCAGAGCAGTGTTCCTAAGAGTCCAAGACACTGGCTCCAGAACCTAAAGAGGCCACCCAGTAACAAGCGTCTTTAAACGCAAAAATGGGTCTTCTGCTTTGTACGGTGGATGGTGTGCCCCTCATTAATGAGCCTCTAAAAAAGTTAACTGATGTGACGAGCCTGAAACTTTGCCAGGTTTATCTCCTACCATCTGGAGCACATCTCTTACCGACACCTTGACCATTTTGCCACTTCTTACTCATCCAGTTTGATTAATGCAGTGTCATAGACATGTGGACCAATGGAATTTGCTGCTGGGTGTCCAAATAGAGTAGATCCCTGAGAGAAGAGAAAGGCTACCCACTCCGGAATTCTTCCCTGGAGAATTCCATGGACTATACAGTCCATGGGGTCGCGAAGAGTTACATTGTGCAGAGGGCAAGAGGACCAACGTAGGCCAGGGTAAGACTGTAAGCGTGTACTTTTGTGACTCTCCCATGAATGCAGACCTCTTCGGGTCCTCCGTCCTGACTGGGACGGAAGATAGCTCTTCTGTTTCAGTGGTCGTCTGGAGCCCCGCTGGTTTGCTCTGCTAAAGACGCCACAACCGATAAGCGGCAGCGGCAGCGGAGGTGACGCCTTGGGTGAGTTAGACGTGGTCTGCTGTTATCCTCCAGGGCGTCGCTTATGTAGGTCACGCTGGGGAAGCAGTGGATATGTGATGTGGCCACCGTCTGACCTATCTACAGGCCATTAAGAGTGGCATTAATTTCTTCAATTCTGCCTATATGCCCTGCTGTTCTCAACTTAACTGTCTTGGCAGGGGATGGAGGTAGGGAGTAGTTTCGGAGGCTTCCCATTAGCCTTCCTTCATGCTAGCTTTTACCCTACAGACCAGGGGAGAGAGAAAGCAAACTGTCAACCACCAAGTGGGCCGTGACACTGAGGGCCTTGAGGAGTGACCACTGCAGGGGCTATGGACCCACTGCACCTACTGTGAGCTGACGCCACCCAGCTCTCCATTCATTTCCTTACCTGGTGAGACCCACCCCAGCGGGAGGGCTATAATGACCCTTTGAGTCCCCAAGTATAACTGTCAGCTTGGTACTTGCTAAGCTTGTATTGAACACTTTATTTCATTAACATATTATCTTGGTTCGGGCTGCTATAGCAACATACAGGTTATAGGTGGCTGCCTTTCCGTCATCTCTTCACCTGGTAGAGGGCAGAGAGAAGGAGCAAGTCCCCTGGAGACCCCTATAAGGCACGGATACCAGTCACGAGGGCCCCTATAAGGCACCAATACCAGTCACGAGGGCCCTGCTTTCATGGTGTCATCTGATTCTAATTACCTTCCTACCTCCTAATACCATCACACTGCGGGATAGTGTGTTGGTATATAAATTTGGTGGGGACAGCAACAATCAGTCTGTAACACGTGTGGATAAGCAAAGTAAATAGCCCTTGATTCCTTGGGGGAAGAGTTTGGTAAATCACAGTCATTTCAGTGGTGTTGCAGAGTCCTTCTTCCTGGGGACTGATCCTCTCCTTCAACTGTCTAAACTTGAGCTTACATTCAGAATTTGGCCAAGGGATCATGAGTTTTCCTTGAGGTGACTCCCTTTGGCTTCCGAATCTTCCACTTTTATTTTGAATGTATAAATTAAACCATAAACTTGTTGGCTACCGTCTGTTTCGCTCCTAGCAGTTTCACATTCCATACTCCTCTGGGTTAGGGTACCCTGGATGCCACTCTGAACATGCACTTCATTTAAATAATTGTGTCCACCTTGCTTATGATGAATGAATGTCATCATCATCTGACTTCTCTTGTGTTGAAATCCCTTTATCCCACTTACTATTAGGAAATAACAGATTTTTGTATCATCAGCTCTGAAGCATAGGAAACAGGCACAGCTGAATTTATCAACAACTTCCATTTCTTATCATTTTCGTAAACAGGCTGGATTTGGGATTTATTTTTAGGAGTACCAAAAGAATCTGCTGGTGAATTTTGAGTAGGGAATGAGAAAAAGAGAGAAATGATGATGACTGCTAGATTTTTGGCTATAACAATGAGATTAAGATGTGCCTCTTCACCACCACATTGGAATCTGCAAGAGTAGCAGGCTTGGTGGAAGAGGAAATTGGAAAAGCATGGAAACTTGTAGAGCTGGAATTTATTTTTTTGCTGGAAGCTAAGACTTTGCATATAACCCTGCTACATTTCAGCCGCTTATTTTTTGGTCTGTCTGGTTAGTCTGGCATATTAGGAAAATAATCATCTGTCTCTAATTGGAGCTTACTTACCAAGGTCTGACTCTGAATCAAACCAACATCTGTGGTGGTAAAACATGAGATAAAGGAAGAAGTCAAGATGCTTGGCACTCTTCCAGTTCTTCGTGTTTCTCAATATTCCATATGGCTCTGTTTCTTGGGCGGCTGGAAGCAGCTGCCTTTCAGGATTTAACATCTGCATGGGGGAATCATTTTAAGAAGGAGATGGAGGGAGAAGGTAGCACCATTGCCATTATACATCATAGATTTTCAAGGAAATTAGGTAAGACACATCTCTGAAGAGCATACTCCACTGGAAATGGCTCTAATATTATTCAGGGGCTAGAAAATCTGACCTTCTCTTCCTGACTCATTAATGGGGTAGCTAGTTCTCCTTACTGCACCGCCACAGCTTCCTTGAAAGAATTAACCGTCAGATTGAAATGCTAGTTTGTCAGCAAGCTTTCCCCTCACTGATTACAGGGGAGACTGAGCCAGCTGCCTCGTTAAGAGCCTGGCTTTTAGACAGAGCAGATTATGTCAGAAAGCAGGAAATGGTCGCACCATTTCACAAATGGGGAAATGAGGGAGTAAGAAGAAGTTTTTGATTTTTCTAAATTCATATTGAAAAATGCCAAAGCTGTAAAAGAGCTGGTCAGTTTGGGATCAGTTACAGGGAAATCTGTCCTGTGGCACAGAAAAATATAGGAAAGAAATTGACTTAGACAGCACCTATATTCATTGGCATGCTGATAACATGATGACAATCGGATTGAAAATAAGATCCTATAGGCAGAAGTAGATTTTAATGGTCTAGTTCTCCACCTCTACCCATTCCAGTATCCTTGCCTGGAAAATCCCATGGACAGAGGAGCCTGGTGGTCTGCAGTCCACGGGGTTGCAAAGAGTTGGGCATGACACAAAGAAGCCGGGCACACTTCATGTCACACCTCTGAAAGGCTTATTTTAGCCCATTTGTGAAGGACTACACAAGAAAAGAGGCTGGAAGCCCTTCCAATATCCCCCAGACAAATGTTGAAAGTCGCTCAGCCGTGTCTGACTCTTTGCAACCCCTTGGACTATACAGTCCATGGAATTCTCCAGGCCAGAATACTGGGTGGGTAGCATTTCCCTTCTCCAGGGGATCTTCCTGACCCAGGGGTTGAACCCAGGTCTCCCGCATTGCTGGCGGATTCTTTACCAACTGAGCTGAGGCATTTCCAATTTCTGTTGAGGATATGCTAATTTTATTTGCTTGTTTACTAAAACTCTCTTTTCTGGGGTACTAGAGATTTGAGTCTCAAATGTATTTTACACTTTGAATTCTCCTACATTTGGTGGTTTCTGGCATCATATCATGATACTTTATAATTTAGAAAAATTCAAGATGGAAAAGAAATTACCCAAAGCAGTCAAACTTGGAGCCTTAAGTTATCCAAAATGGTTAGTGAAAAAGTGCCGTCTCAGAGAATAAAGACCGCAATCAGTGAATACATTGGGAGGAGGGAATATAGATGGCAGCTAAACACTGGGAACTGGGGAATTAGGATTAGAAGAAACTTTCTTCATTGTGTGCAGTGCTATTTGCTTCACATACATTTTACGAATCCTATGTTAAACAATTACAGAGAGACTGGAGAGGCAATTAAGAAGCATAGAAACAGTCTAGTCTTCTGAAGTTTGGGGTAGGGATGGTAATAGTTGTACAAGGATGTCTACCTCCCCATCCCCAGAATCTGTGGATATACTACCGTACAAGGCAGAAGGGACATTGCAGATACAGTGAAGGTTGAGGACTTTGAGACAGGGAGATTATTCTTGATTATCCGGGAGAATCCAACCTAATCATGAGTCCTTAATGTGGAAACCTTTCCAGCTAGAACAGAGAGAGTTGTGGCAATAGATGAAAAGTCAGAGAGAGTGTTACTGTGCTAGTTTTGAAGATGAAAGAAAGAGGCTAGAGCCAAGGAATGCAGGTGGCGTCTAAAATCTGAAAAAGGGAAGTAAATGGATTCTCCCCTAGACTTCCCAGAAAGGAACACACCTTTGCCCCTACCCAGTGAGAGCTTATTGGATTTCTCACCTCTAGAACTGTAGATTATAAATGTGTACTGTTTAAGCTGCTACATTCCTGCCAGTTTGTTACCCTGGTGATAAGAACTAATGTAGATAACGTCTTTGATAAATTTTACTATAGCTGAAAATCCTGGACATACAAATGTGCTTAAGTCACCAAGATGTGAAGTACAAAAACATGGGCAGGTGGCCCTAGAGTAGCCATTTTCTTTAAAAGAAAAATAAAACTTAAAAAAATAAATTTATATATGTGTTGTTTTCCTGATTCTAGAAATAACTTCTATTCAGTACAGAAATTCTGGAAAGTAAATAACAATATAAATAAAAGAAGAAAGTGTAATGACTTAAAACCTCAACATTCTTTGTTACTACTATCATATTGTTATAATATTACTTAAATTCTTTCCAAGTGTGTGTATATATATATATATATGTATATATACATACATACATATACATTTGTATTGTCATTTACATTTGTAATATACATTTGTATATTACATCAAATGTATAGTTGTAATATGTAATATGTACATTTGTAATATGGCAGTTACAATTGTCATATACATTTGCACTCTGTTCATATGTGTACATGTGTGCATATATTTATGTGTATATATGTATATATATATATATATACGGACCTGAACATAAATACACA